AGATGAGACGGTCGATCCTGACTTTTAGCCCGTGGTGAGTATTACGGGCCCCGATATCCTTTGGTCCATAAACCTTACGGCCAGAGATACTCCTTAAGTCATCGTTGCACTTGCCGACGTCGACAGGAATGTTGCCCATGGACTGCACACCATGGGTGCAAAAGAAGACTGCGTTCTTTCGACCCAGTTTCTCGATCTCCTCCATTTGCTGCATGACCACAATCTTGTTGTTAGCCATCATAATTGGGATTGCTGCTCTGTCTGGGGGGGTCACCCTCTCCGAATGTTCCCATTTGATCAAGCCGTTGTTCTTGATGAGGAGGCACCTGTAATGATGCAACTCGCCTTGCGAATGTTTGCACGAATCCAACACACACATGTGCTCCGTCTGCGATCTGATGATATGCTTGTTAGGCTTGTAAATCATTACCACACACTCGATCAAAAATTGTTTGACTCTGTAGCTTCAGGAGCGATTATTATCTCCTTCAGATGGGCTCCAATGAACTTGGCACACTGCTGACGTGCAACATCAATCGCCTTCCTTGTTTCCCAGTCATAGGTGTGTGTACAGGAATGGGGATTTCCGTATAGACCGGGATAAACTGAAAGTATAGCATTGAGCACGCGAGGGACCATAGAAGTTGTAGCTTGCATGTCAACGCAGGTTGGCCGAGATCCCGCATCTATCATTGTGGTTTGCTTGAGAATCCCTATTTGCCATTGCCGTTAGTTTCCGAATCGTCCCGGGAGAAATACGAAACGGAAGGCAGAGAGTTAGGTACCGGTAGAAGGGGACATCATCATACCTGCCGTCAGACTATTCCTAACCTCCTTCCCACTCGCGGATGCGAATCTGCGGTACAGCCGGGCTGTCATTCCCCTCTGGAGCATTAGAGCAGGGTTGAGTGAAGCACGAGAGAAGCTCACAATGCATTGAACAAACTTGGCGGCCATCATCATGGGGTCAGAGTTAAAAATTTGTGGAATTTCCTGCAGGGATGTACCTCTCAGATGGCAGCAGTGGAAAGGTAAATGTCAGAGGAAGAGTTGAAATTGGGGGATGGCGGTGTGGATTTTTTGAGGTATGGAGGGGTTGGGGGGAGCGAAAACCAGGGTTGGATGGATGGGAGTATCACAGTATCATAACGCCATGTGAATGAACCAGGGTGGTAGGTCTTGGCAACGACTGTTTTGCTTGGGTGGAGAGATGCTGTGTGACTGCTTCCTTTTTTTTTTTGAACTGAGGAAGTGTGAATGTTCAGCTGCAATCCAGTACCAGTATTCCGTGATGTGGAGATCTAGAAAATAATTATAATCTGCGGGACATGTTGTGGAGGCGTAAAATTATGGGAAACCCTTGTAAGGAGATCTTGGAAAATTTGGAGCGAGACAGGCGGTACTTATAGGATACCGCAACCTGCTCTACTGTAAGTTACCGGTAATCAAGTTACCCGACTACCGTTAACCCGGTGTGCCTCGCCTGCTTCAATGCCCTACGATATGCAGGTGCTTGTGGAATATCCTAATGCGGTTTCGTGGTGTAGTTGGTTAAACACTTGTCTACTGCTGAAATAAATGCCCTCGCTCCCCCACTAAACTGAATTTAAATTTAGCGAGCCTCAAAAGCGGCGGAGCTGCAGGGGTACCGTGCTACAGTGGTTCAAGTGTAGCAGGGTACAATACAAGCACTCTACACGTACGAGTACTCGAGTACTAGTACCGCACCAGTTGGGTCAACTTGTCTCGGCGGTTTAAACAAATACCCGTCAATTACCGGTATCGGCGAGTCGGTAAAGTGAGGTGGAGAGAATGAAGTATTCGTAATCCTATGTGGCGAGATCTCCTATAGGGTAGCTGAAGGAGGCGGTTGGGGACTAAGAGAATCAGGTCAAAAGAGGTCATGTGACAGGAGAGCTCCACAAACCCTTGGAGATCTTGTGCAATTAAGTTACTATCTCCCTCACCTGGGACCAGTGGGCGAAGAAAGAGTTTCTCAAAGGCTAGCCTCAAGGGACCTCCGGTAACAGAACTCCCATCGATGTTGATTTCGTTGATTCTCATAGGTCTGATTAAGAGAGAATTAGGGTTGCCTTGTGCGATATAGGGATTCGGTACGGTGCGACCTCACCACGCTCTATGTGTGTCATCCGCCACGGTCCGGAGACAGAGATAAGAAGAACAATATTGAGGCAATAGAGAGAATTATGGTCAGTGGGGCCGGGGGGCCGAGTCATTGTAGATTGTGAAAGGCATAGCTCCCTGGAGGACAGAATAAGTGCAACGGAAATAGAGAATTTACCCTTGTTAAAAACTATTCTGAACAGTATAATACAAGTAATTCGAAGAATAGAGAATAGGTGAAAAAGGATAAAAAATAACTTCTACTGTGTAAGTGTAGAAATAGAGAAACAAAAAAGAACCTAGACAGATAACTTACACAAAACAAAAAACAAAAACAGCCCTGTTAGAGGGACTTGCATGGAAATCGACTGAAGCCTGATAAACTCTTTTGCAAGAGCACTCCACTCCACATGGTCTTCCTCCTTCCTTTTCTTCCTTGGATCCTGTATTCTGCAAGAAATCCCGCCCACAGTTTCCGATATTTAAGCCCATCAGTCATACCATCCTGTACAGTAATGCACATTGTTCGCGAAGCACCCAGAACTTCTGAAAGACAACGGGAGAGAACGCCCAATTCGAAGGGCCTCAGTGGCTGCCACCCGCAACGTGCCCCTGTCTTACCAATTCCGCCATAATTTCCACCCGTCTTTCTTTCTCATTACGATTCTCGAGGATAAGCTGTGCATTTTCAGCCAAGAGGATGGCGATTCTGTCTTGTTGCTGATTTTCCCCGGAGGCCTGAGCAAGGCTTTGTACCCAAATTTGCGCAGCCGCCAAAATTGCGGCTCCTCTAAGACCGCTAACAATTGCGGCAAGTGGAACGGCGTATCTCGACATCGTTGCTGAAACATACACTTCTGGGTTAGCAACTACATCGGCTCCCGCTTCAAGGATTCTGCTAACATACCGATGAACCCCGATAATATGACAGAAGTGGGGGCAGAAGATAGTAGTCAAATCACTTGCGGATCCTGTTGGCACGACAGAAGTGCAGGCAGAAGATAGCTGTCGGATCACCAACAAATCCTGATAATACGATGGAAGTGCGGGCAGAAAATAGTAGTAGGATCACCCACGAATTCCGGTAACACGCGTGAAGTGCGGGCAGACGGCAGTGGTCAGATGGAGTTTTTGTGTGCTCAGGAATGAGCAAAAATATGAGCAAGGTGAACAATAGAGACAAGTCGTGGGAAGTGTAATAGCGGTTTGCTTGGAGGGTATAGATGTTTGAGCGAGAGTCTAAGGGAACACAATAATAGGGATAAGGGGAGGAAAGGATGGGGGAAGGAAGGAAGGAGTATGGGAAGATATGGAGGCTGGTAAGGAAGTACCGTAGGTGTTTACATGTCCAATTATGATGCACTATATTCTACAGTTATAACAGACAAGTATTTTATTCTCCCATCATGTCACATTGGGTTTTGTGGTGTAGTTGGTTAAACACCTGTCTCCCGCTGAAATTAATACCCTCTGCTCACCCCACTAAACCCAATTTAGCTAACCTCAAAAGCGGCTGAGCTCCAGAGGAACCCGACCACAGCGGTTCAAGCGCTTACAACACATGTACTAGTATCACACCGCACCGGTCGGGCCAATTTGTCTAAGAGCGGTTTTTCTGTGCAAGCAATTCGACAGTACTGTACGGCTCCGGCATTACTTTATCTGTGACACAATGATGCTCTAACCCTCATCGCGCGTAACAATGTTATCCTGGGCTCCTGAAAAACTTAGACTCCCGCGAATCTACACCCCATGAGACAGTTAGCACCATCCGGGCTTATTCATAGTGAAAACGACTCCTACCCAGTTTCGTTATTTTACGGAACAATGGGGTGTTTCAAGTACTGTACTGGTATCAGGTCAAGAATTTTGTGTTGTCGTTGGGTGCATTCCTCGTGATCTCCTTATTGGTTATGTTTTTGAGAGCTAGTCTATACGAGCCAATGCAAATTATTCCTGCAGCCGGTTCAGTAACAGCAGCACTAGTGCTGAATCATGAAAGGCCAAATGACAAGCTCTCCCAGTTGGCCTAACACCCCCACGAGCACTATCCAGGTTTGGTGGACTGGCTGGGAGTTGTCCTTGCAAGAAATGAATGGCCAGAAAATGGGGGTTGAACTTCTCTGTGCATGACTTTACAGGTACCGTATCATACCAATACATGGTTATGTAGCAAAAGGGTACAGAGTGATAGTTCCGGGCAGACCGGAATACAAGCATCATACATTATCATACGGTAGGTATGACGATATCATGATATTCCTGCTTGGGCCGAGAGGCCGAGTAGGAATAAACGGGATGGTTTTTTGGGTCCGTTCTATACGCGAGTGGGGGAGGGGTGAAGAAATTTGGCCACCGTACGGTATCGCAGCTTCATGATTGGGAATCGCTGGAGATTCGAGATGCTCTTATCAACCTCAACTCACGCACGGGTATGCACTATGGGTGGGCAAGACTGGTTACATTGGGAGACCAATGCTTAACCTTCCTCTAACATGCTTTGGACATGAATTGCCTCTTTGGTCACACTTGGTACCGGTTGTTGGACGCCACAGAACACATTTCTCGTTTTTTTTCTTCCTCCCTCCTGTCCTTGGTGCCACACCCACTCCCCACCCTTCCACACCTCTTCTTCATTTCTAAATAACTTCAAAAATAACCCGTACCTCCCACCACCACCACCATCACGCATCATGCCCAGAACCCAACACCGACTCCTTCCCAGATTAAGCTGACTAGTGAGCGTTAATTTCGTGGTTTGTTGAGTGTGTTCAGAGGCCCACATGCCCCCTCTGCACCAGCATTAGAGGTTCCGCCCTGTGATATAAGTGAGATTTGAGTGAACATAATTAGCTCATACCAACACCGGTCTAAGATTCCAGAGGACCCACAATGTTTTTCCCACCCCGCATGATTAGACCTCCTAATCTCCCAGTAATCTTGACACACCCGTTCTCATCCAATTCTGCTTTTTCTCCGGTCTACCCAACCTAATCCGATCGATCAGCTCTATGAAAGGAGGGAGAAAGCAGTAGAGGTGGCTGCGAAACCACCTGCATGCATCCACAACTTCCCGTTCTCATTTTTAGTCCTGACTCCCGCCGTACCGATTGGGTCGTTCCAGTAGCCCTTCTGCAGGAGGTATCCAGATACCGGTAGTTCACTGAGTTCGCCTGCGGAGAGGGTCTTGGTGCGCTCGGTGGCAGAGCCTACTTTGGTTCTATTTACGAGCACCGGCCTAAAGAGGGTGTGAGGAGAGGAGGGGACGCACTCTACGTACGGCGTTAACCTGCCAACACTATTGGCTCATTTCTCGAGCGGGTCATCAGTGGTAGTCACTGCAGAAACCGGTGAAGTTTCAGTCATTCTATGAACGCCATTAGCCATTATACAACCACCCATAAGATCACGTCTTTCACCCACCCATAACAGATAGCTACACTCCCACCCCAGCCCAGGACTTCAATAGTCTTCCCTTCCCCACACACACACCTTCAGCACTTGGGGATCGCATACTCAACTGTCAGGTCCAACTCTCTATGAAACCTCTTCATGAATTCCTTCGGAATACTACTTCCTGCCACAATACCAGTCCTTATATGATCAAACCCTTTCTGCTCCACCTCCTTACCAACTAGCCGTTCTAGCTCCGCTGTGAACATGCCGGCGTACGACAGTTCTGCGCACTTTCCCTGTTGCACGGTGTGAAGGGTTGCCTTGCCGTCGAAACATTCGGTGGGGAATCCGATGCAGGAGGCATGTGTCGTGCAGGTTATGTAGCCTAGGAGGCTACCAAACCGGCTAGCTCTTCGTCAGCAGTAAGCATTGGAGGAGTGGGTGCAAAAGTAGGGAATACGGTAATAACGGAGGAGGGCAACATATATATATCATCTTTATTGGTCAGAGTATTCTATCACCAATGCTCTTCCCATTATTCAGTAGAGAGTGATGAGTTAGGCACGCGGCTTTCAGCATACTCGCCGCCCTGGCATACTATCCCCAAATTAACCCCTATATTGCCTTCCATCCGTTATATCTTCCTTGATCCAAGTACTAGCAATCGTAATCGCCAACTATGCGAGGAACAAGGCCATGTCATTGGTACACGCGGAGGTTGCGTTTGGCCCAGGAGCCTAACATACAATTACCTGGTCACTCACACTCGAGTTCCTGGAGTCGTTAAACGGACTCGTAACACGTCCAGGTGCTGGAGTACTTAAGGGGTGGTGGTATGCCTCCTTTATTGTAAACCACTCTTGAATTGAGTGGGCAAAAATTCGCGATGAAATACAAAATCTTTGGTTTGTCATAGGCTATTTCTGATTCTTGCTATGCTAAGGTTGCTAACTTGATCCTAATATTTTGTCCAGCTATCCTAAAGTCCTGTCAGGCAATGCTCGCTGGGTCGGTGACGACCTTTACCGCCCGATCCATCCCACTAAGGGCAGAGGACCGCCGGCGGGGTGAAGAGACCGGGAGGAAGGACCGCGTCGGTGAAGAGGACCGGGTGCGGGGGGGTCAGCTCTAGCGGGAGGAGCAATTGCATCAAGACCGGCACCGGGTGGAGGATCGGGAGCACGCGGAGTATCTCCGTCTCCCCCCGTTGTGCTGCCTTCTCGGTTCGGCGGGGGCCGGGGACCCCTACATCTGGGGGCAGGAGTGGTGGAGCGGGCGGGTGTCCCGGGTCGGGGGCCTAGTGGGGTGTGGGTGCCGTTGGCCGGGGCGGGGTGGGGCGGGAGGGCTGTGGGGCTGTGGGGAGGGGTCGCGCGGCGGCGGGGGGCGGGGGGGCGTGGCCGTAATCGGCGCTTTTTTTAGTTATTATTGTTTCCTCCAGTGGCTTGCATTATTAAATATTGCCACGACACCCCGCACGCCCGATGCAGAATGTGACTATAAATTTCCCACTTCAGCGCTCCTTAGCGTCGCGACCAGCAAAAACTGGTTCGTAATCAGCAGAGTATCAGGCATCCACGCCCATTTAAAGTGTTGGGCATGTTGTGAGCTGAGATCGGAGGACAAACACACAGACGATAGTGGTGGAGGAGAAAGGAACTTCGTTGCTGTTCTCAGGAGCGAGGCTTCCAGTTAACTACAAGACACCGAACAACATGTGACTGCTCACTCCAACCTTATGCCCCTCAGGCATCCAAGCCCTCATCCCCAATGGTGAACACCACACCAAGAATCAACTCTCCTCAACACTTAACATCTCTACTCATGAAGATGCACATGATCACATTATCCCCTGGTGCCCATATATTCTCAACAGGGCATCGGCCTGTTCTTGATTCCAAAGTTACCGATACTCTTTGTGGCATCATGCTCAACTCAGTGGCATTGACGTCCTGCGGAGGACAAGCCGCGATATCAAAGGCGAGAATGGCAGTCAGGATATCTGCCAAGACACATGTAGTGTCCTGGCATCCAACATGGGCAGAGTTTAGGACGAAGGCTGCCACTACTCATGCCTCTGGGGCAAGAATTGGCACCCCTTTTGGAATAGCCACCACGGACCCATAAAAAGTATAGTGTTGAAGCTGCTACCTCGGGGGGCGCATACACCGCCGCCTTGACAGCAACATTTTTCGGCCAGGAGACTGAATGACTCGTCCAAGCATTACATGCTGCTGAGATCCCACACTACTGCCAATAATATTATATCGTACCGTTGAGTCCTTCATATAGTAGTTCTAACCCAAGTCAATTTCCTTCATATTAGGCAAACTTAGTGGTTGGAAAGGAAAACATCTAATTCCTTACAAGAGTCATTACCGAGTGTATGATGTGGTCACTCTCACAGGATACTGGTATCTTGCGCCACTGGCACGGGCTTTCAAACACCTCGAACGCTATTATTTTTATGGGGTGGCTTGAGCTATTCCTGGAGAGGTGCCAATTCTTGGCTCGGAGACACAAGTACGGTACAGTACGGTCCGTCCCGTCTATGTTTGGTGCCTGCAGCTCTTGCGATGCCTGTTCCCACTCTAGTCTTGCTGGACCATCCCGATATTTCCATGATAATACTGCCAAGGAAGAAGTTGGCCAACAAGTTCCGGGCGGAAACTGATTTGTCGGAGCCAGTCGGCTTGGAGGACAGATCGGAGGAGGGTACCAATCTATAACCTCTACGAGTTTTACGGAGGTTTTGCTATTATACGATAGCTATAATCCGAACTGTTCTTGTTTTGTAGCGAGTTACATGTCTCAGCTGTGAGAACTAGGGTTTTGCTAAGCAGGATATAAATCTTGGTGTAGTATAAACAATATTTCGTTCGCGTTAGTGCAAGCGTTATCAAGCCTTTGTAGACAAAATATTGTCAACATCATCCCTCAACAAGCGTCATATTGATGAAGTGACTACAAGCCACAGCAGCCGCGGCAAAATCGCCACATTGCAAACGTTAGCCACAAACACCCCTTGCCCCTAATGCTGCCATCCCAAATAGAATAATAATAATAAAAAAAGAAAGCTTCAACCACCTAACCAACAGAGCCACCATAACCGCCACCCCGACAGTGGCAAAAATACTGGAAGGCATTCAAATTTCGAGCCACTCGCGCAGTAGCTACACCCGTTTTTCCGGCGAAGTCATCGTTTTTGCGGCACTGGTGAATGTGCTACCCTCAGCAGGGGAATCCATTCCTGCGATTTTTGCCTGCAGCAGCTCTAGCTCCCGGTTACGGTGCTCGTGATACTCACATATCTGCCTCGTTTTAGCGGCTACCATCCAATTACCTGCAGCAGTTACCGCAATGACCCCAAGTATTTCCCCGTGCCTGGGGTTAAGGACTGAAAGATACGAGACGCAGTTAGTAAACGAGATATTTTAAAACTATGGGGTTTCTGAAACAATCCAGGCGAGCGCAGCATTGCGTGTCCGATGTACGATGAAGGGAATATAGGAATGGTTTGTGGAGATGCTGGTGGAGTGGTTTGTGGTTCGAGCATTTAGAAGATAACCGGTAACTGAGGGGGTTTAAGTACTCACTCTCATCTCCTCAGCTACCCGGCCATTGGCTGTCTGACTGGTACCACAGGAACTGATGTGGGAGCTGCAACGCAACCCTGGCCCCGGTGGCACGTCCATTGTAGGTTCTTGCAAGATTGCTTCGATGTTTAAGGAAGTGAGCAGAAACCTAAATATCTGTATTAGCCGGTAATGCGCGATTGGATTCTCAGCACCATGGCCGCTGCCCACACTGCTGATAAACTTCCGGGAATCTCCTCTAGAATTTCTGCCGCCAGGCTCGTATCCATTTTTGAACGGTAACAGCGCAACTGCGAAACCTTGAAACGGCAACGATTGGTAAGGCTGCTAAAAAAGAACTCCCCTCACCAACAAAGGGGGATACATGCGTGGGGGAAAATCGATATGTGGAGTGAGCGGTGGAAGGATAGGAGGACGGTTTCATTGATATCTGCTTCCATATTTTACTCTAAGATAATTAGGTAGTAGTTGAGCGAGCGATCATAGACCGAGAGGGGTATCGTACGGAGATAGGGAATTGAGCGAGAAAAATTTCCCCACTTCTTCCTATGTCCCTTTGAAGGCTCCCGTGCTAACAAAAGAAATACAGGTACTACAAAGAACCCCACTGCCAGCAGTCTCCGCTCCGGGCAGTTTCTTTGACTTCTGGATGGACTGCCTCCCCTCCGGGAAGTCCCTTTGGCTATCGCTTAGGTATGGCTTCCGCTCCGTATAGTCTATGAAGCACCCGCTGTCACGAAATATCACTCGGTCAAACTAAAATGACAAGTGCTGACTCAATACGACTGCAAAACTTAGGGGCAGGAAAAGTCTGCTCTTGTTCGCTATCTCTTAACAGACTAACGGTAAAAACGTGAAGTACATATTACCAACGACAATGACCTGCCATCCCCCACTGGTATGTTCCCCATTGACGAGCAAACACAAGCTAACAAATGGAAAACAAAGGGAAGACAAACTTCGTCGATTTGCCTCCCCCCCGCCGGCCTTCCGATCCGTTCCTCTTGCCATTTCGCTTTCCCTCCGTTAGGCGCACCGTTTTCCACCCAGCGAATTTCCACCACCACGCACCGCTTTCCTTCCGTTGGATGCACTGCTCCGAGACCCCGCACATTCCCGCCAAACTGTGCCCACAGCCAAACCGCGCTCCCACAAACGATCATTCGTGCGCACGACAAAAACGCCATCTTCAATAGCGTCAGACTCCTTCTCCATGTCATGAATTACGGCACCGAAGGAATCAGTGATATCATCACTATTCACTACCCACGTCAGCATTTATCTCTCAATACCACAGCGCGCACTATAAAACATACATCAACGCGTAGCATAAATCCAATCTGATGAGAGAGCGACGTAATTACGGAGTTGACTAATCAGTTTCCTAACGTTGGGGCTGTGCGGGGAAGGTGCAAAATGGAAACTCAACACTCCCTCGCGAAAAACAATGGTATAGACGTTTGGGGGATCTAGAAAGTCCGATGAGTTCTTATTTTGCACAAAAGAGTGGAAGCATACAAAACAGTAGGACCTGAAAAGCTCAACTTTCTCGCGAGTCTCTTGAACCCAAATATCCTCAGATGTCACAGGATGGATTGCAAAGGCCTTCATGAGCATAGCTAACTCGTCTGTAGTAGGATCGTAGCAGTCCAACCACCAGACCCCCTGCGTATTATGGGAGCGCTCGTGGAGCATCCCCTCATCGCCTGGGAGGTCGCCAATCTCGGGAGTGTGGATCATGGCATTACCCTCGGATGAGGAAAAACTGAATCGATCAGGATTGCTCACACGCCTATGACGGGGAATGGTCGGCGTATTCCAAAACTCGGCTTTCTCATTATTAGAGGGGGACGGGGAAGATATGGGACCCTCTTTCCTAACACTGCCAGAAGCAGCGGACAAATCCTCCTGGGCCTTGATTTGGTCAAAGTATCGGGGCCCAATGACATCCCCACAGGTGCTCATTTCCCTCTCCTCTCACAAGGCTTCGCGCGTGATTGGCCGGCTACAAATTCATACATCTCCTCAAAATCAATCCCGCCCCGGGTTTTGCTCTCCTCAGGAGGCGAGAAACAAACGTCCTCCTCGGCAGTGGTCAGAGCCTCATCGCCGGAGCCATTCGCAGCAGTTTGATTCTCAGTAAATGTTGAACGGTGTGACAGTCCTGCCGAGACCTAAGGCAAGATCCGCGAGAACTTTAGAGCTGATGGTGGCGGGGCGGTCCTCACGGCGTCTCTGCTGCGGATTCGCGAATACCCCGAGATAGTTTTGGGCGATGGTGATCTCGTGCAAGTGACCCAAGAAGAGGAGCGGGATGGAAATGGTACTCCGTACTGACCGTCACCACCGTCATCAGGAGAAAGGGCAGACCTATCGTCGCGTGTCATCATCCAACACAGCCTGCTCGTAGTCTGTGAATCAGGCTATGGGTATCCAAGATAATGAGCGAGCGATTTGTGACCATGGCAGTTAGGCCAATACAATAGCATTCAATTATTAACAACGCCACCTGTGTATGCCCAATGCGGAATAAGAAAATAAAAGAGGTTTCCTTCCAAACAAGAAGTAGCATCACTGCTTGCCCCCCTTAACCGCAATATTTCTACCCTCCATCTCGCCAGTGGCACCCTTGCCTCCCCCCGCAGGAGCTTCGCTGACCGGAGTACACTTGACCGCTGCTTCTTAGGAATCATTCTGTTAATAATCTATGACTTCAGTCATCTGCTACCGAGCCATTTCTCTGTGGACCTTACCGTGGCGGGTGGGAGGGAAATCTTTGGAATAACTTGGGGGATGTACACCTCCATCATTTTTTTTACCGCATATATGGCAATCTACAAGGTATGGTGTTAGTAACAGTGAAAATCGACTTGCCGTAGGGGCGAGGTATTGGAACAGATAGGGAGGCAAATGCCCGCGCGAGGAACAAAAAAATGAGAGGTTATTTCCCTCCCCAGGTATCTTGGAATCTGAATGAAGGAAGTTTCACATCGGCCATCTTGACACCAGTTTGTTCCAATACCGTACTTTACCCCTACCGCGAGTAAGCTCAGGGATAACGTACCCCAAGCAGGCTAAGTATCGCCGAGCCAATCAGTTCGAGTTGCCATTGAATGAAGTTCATTTTAACCTCTAGGCGGTTCGTTTGTGACTTCGCCTCATCAAACATGGCCTTCATCTCTGACCTGACCTGGATAAACCAGTGTTCCCAACGGGCCAGGTAGGCCAGGCTGAACCAAAGCCGGGCCCGGCCGGAGCCTGCAGGCTTTGAAAATCTAGGGCCTGGCCTGGCCGGGTCCAGCGATAGGTCGTATAGGCTAAGTACCTGCCACCTGGTAGGCCGGCCCGGCCGATATTGCCAAGCCTACAATCTCTTCAGATCTTTGGTTTCCCTTCGGCTCATCTTTCACCCTACTAAACTAGTCCGAGTTACTCCGGCGTGAACCAGAAGTCACACAGTCCCCATGCAAATTCCACGCGTTGCTGGTAATACTCGAGTAGAGCTGAACGAGTATCACTAAGAGTACCAATAGTATTAGGCACTGATCCTACGCGTGGGTAGTGATATGGATTTTCTCGTGGTTCACAAAAATCGCCCAGGTCAAATAGAACTGGGTCAACCATAGCGGGCATATTCGCTGATGAATTTGATAGAATTACTGCAGAAGAAAGTGAATCAGAAGGAGGAATTGTGAGATAGGACTGCATTGGAGAATCTGGAGGTAGATTGCCTGGACTTTGTTGAGCTGGCTGTGGACCGGTAATCGCGTAGTTATCATACTTCAACCAATAATTGAGGATATGGATAAAATGATAAACCACAATAAAAGTTTTAAGGAATGGAGCCATTCTTAAAACAATCAGCTCTAAAGATCCCAGTTGCAGGCCTGTAGGCTCCTACCAGGTCTGATAGGCTTCTGCAGGCCGGTTGAGTTCGGCCTATATCCGCCTAGGCTCACCGCCAGAGCGGCCTGCCTTGGCCTAGACCACAGCCTATAGGCCGGGCTATCAGTGGCCTAGCCCTTTGGGAACACTGGGATAAACTTGATTTCGACTTGGTTGAACCGAGCTTCGACTTGGGCGAACCGAGTGTCTATCGTAGACGCAATGTTCCCCATCATCTTGTGGGCCGTAATCTCAGCGTCTTTGAACTCCTATCACAAGAGTTAGCTGTCTGTCATTTTAGACCAAACATAGGAAAGAAACTTTTGTCAAATCAGTCAAACGCGTGTCATTCTGAAAAACACGGTCCCACTATCATGGTATTGGTTAGCAGTGATCCCAAACGGCCAGTTCGGACAATAGTCCGGACTACAGGTTGGCAGTCCGGTCACTCCGGCCTTGGTTTTGAAAAGCCTAGGCCAGTCCGGTCGAAATTCTCTGCGGCCACCAAAGCCTGGCCGCGCCCAAGCAACCGCCGGGTCGAATCTTGGCGCAACCTAGGTTAGAGCCGCCAGATGCCTAGGGAAAGCCGCCAGATGCCCAGGTAACCTGAAGATAGCTATGGACAGCCTGCAGGCTTTCCACTTTTAATCACTCGGAACAAGATATTAGGAGCAACAGGCGCCTGACGCTATAGATCTCGCTTAAGGTAAATGTATGGCATCCAGCGATGAACCCTCGCTGTACCCAAATATGCTGTCTTACCTCAAGACACTATACTATTCTTCACACAACTCTCTGGCCACCCCGGGTGAATATGTATTGCCCGCATGAAATAGCTAGTCCTGTTGAATAATGAAATATTTCTTAGTAATGAAACACACGTGATCCCTGGAACATCGGCCTGCGGATGACCCAGGCCGGGCCCGGCTTTTGTTTGGAAAAGCCGCTTTCCCACAGTCCGGCCCGGCCATCCCTGAAAAAGCCTGGGCCAGTCCGGCCGTACTCAAAGCCGGACTGACTGGCCGCTTGGGATCACTGTTGGTTAGTCAAATTAGTAGTAATGAAAAGGATAGCGTACAAGAAATTTTTTAACCGAAACGTCATTCACCTCGCCATCGTAATCCGGTACAGACTCTGGTTCAAGGCTGGAGTCGGTCATAATTAACCGTCGGTGAGCCAGACCCGGCCGGACTCTACGGTATCCAATAAATTGGTAGTATCATACGGACGGGTGTCGAGGATGCATTGCCTTTGTGGACGGATGAACTGAGGGCTGGTATGGAACTTGCGGATGATTGAAGCCATGGTTGCTCTCTGTTGTGGTGTGCTGCTTTGGAACGGAGTGGGGAGCTCTCATACATATACGGTAGTCTACGAGTGCGGCCGACTAATATAATCGCGCCAGATCTTTCTTATCGGGCTCACGTGACGATTATATTAGTCCGCCGCACCTCCATGAAATGCAAGCAATCCCCTCACCGTAATCACAATTGTCTTTGTTCAGTGCTAACTTAATGCAAGGCTCGCTATCCAAAAATAGTTAGTCCATACTGTGCAGCACTACTCCAGTACTTAGAGGGGTCTGACGGTGAAAATTTGGTGAGTGTAACCATGAAAACCGCCAATCTTAGCGGCTTTTTTGGAGGGGAAAAAAAAGTCTGGTAAAAGCAAAAAATTCCGACACAAGAAACTTTATGAAAGTCTGCTCTCTCATTGGCTGACTGACCCAGGAGCTAATGAGGACCACCCTTAGCCCCAGGTACTCGGGTAAGGCAGTTCGCAAGTGGATATACAATTGGGTTGTGTATGGACGCATCACTTCAGCTCATAACTGGGTTTCGTGGTGTAGTTGGTTATCACACCAGTCTAACACACTGGTGGTCCCCGGTTCGAGCCCGGGCGAAATCAATTTTTTTTTCAGCCACGCAACGGCAGCTTACGCGGACCCAGTGGGTTCGGGGGGAAGATCGCTAAAATAATTTAGGTGGAATAACTCCCTAACTGTGCCAAGGTTCCCACCGATAACGTAACTGCGCGCCGTTCCAAATCTTGCTGTACAAGTATGGTTCCGGACGTCTTAACTGTACACCTCAGATTTGTGACGGGGGACGGCTTGGCAAAAAAAAAATGTATGTATGTTTAATTCCCAGCAAGGTTAGAGTTTTTTATTAATTGTCAAGCCACATGTGGTATTAGGGAGAGTAATTTTAGAGAAAATAATAACATATTATCGGCAGAAAAGAAGTGATTGTAAATCTAAAGAAAATAAATATTTATATGATATACCATGATATTATGATCTATTGATATTTTATATAATGATATGTGGCTTGAACATATTAAAAATAACTATGTTGAGTCTAGGACTTGAACATCTGTTGACTTTTTGAACTTGTGGCTGAATGCCAAGCCGTCCCCCGTCACAAATTCTGAGGTGCACACTTAAGACGTCCAGAACCATACACCTATGATATTATCCGACGTCCTCTCAGCTCAACTGAAGATCTCCACACAAGATTCATCATCTAAGTAAATTCCAAACACCTTATATCCGCCCCTAAAACCAATATCTATTTCTAAAACTTATTCTAATGTTAAGGCTAGGATCTGACATACTTGTCAGAAGATATCTGAAACTGAAAAGCCAAATATTGCGGCTATCGCAGAGGAGTTTTGAGTACTAGAGAGCTGCTTGAAAGTCAAGTGGGATGGCCGGCGATTGAAACACAGCGTCAACCAAAATGGCAAAAAGAGGCACCTCAGGACTAGAAAAGATAGCGGGAGATAGCTTATAAGAAACTTAAACAGCTGTTCAAGCAACAGAATAATTAATCTAAATAATCCAAGGACGTGAGCGGTGATAATCCGGTGGATAACTTGAATTCTTGCATTGAGCTGAGATCTAACTTACTGTTGAACTGAGACGAATATCGTAGACGTGCCGCAAGATTTGCAACTGCGTGCAGTTGCACAATCGGTGGGGGCCTTGGCACGGTCAGGTGGAGTACGAACCCGGAATGAGACCGGACCAGTCTACCTTATTTGAAGGTCGGCTCCTAGACCCCTGAGTCTTGTAGAGGCGCAAGCACCACTTCCTTGCCATGGGTATTCCCCTTCGTACACCCGACAACGATAAAGTCAGAATAACAAGCCTGAAACCAGGAGTTGACCGGACCATTTTAGTTGATGAACGAGGTAAGGCGGCCGAATGGATGGAGAATGGTGGGTGTAGCTGGTGCCATGGTGTCCATCGCGGGAGCAATTGATCGATTCTGATCGACCTCCTCCCAGCAGGTTGCCTCTGTAACACCTAAGGACTGTCAAGCGTGTTGCCAGTGAGCGGTTTCCTTGCCGCTTATGCGACGTGGAACTAGGATAGACCGAATACACTGGCACGGTTACAGAGTCACGACACTCCGATGATTCGCCGAGAGGTTAGGAGCTGGCGCCGGACTTGTGTTGGGAGGAGCGGGTAGGGGGGGGTGTCGGGCGGGCTCCCACT